GCCCGTGGGGGAGCCGATTGCAACACAAGCTGGGCCAGACCCTGCTCCGCAGGTGAGATCTGCGCATCCGCCGTAATACCCACGGCTGCGCCATGTGCCTGTAACGTTTGAGGCGGCTGGACCGTGGTGGGTGCGAGAGTTGCCGCAGCAGCCGTTACCGGCGCCACAGGTGGCGCCGCCGTAGGCTGCGCGCCGGGCGCCATAGGCGCCTGAGGTGCTGCCGGAGCCGTGGACGCCGTCTGGAGCTGGGCGGTGCTACCAAATGCTTGTGATGAGGATTGAGGCGCTGCAGGCTGCGCGGACTGCTGCTGCGGGAGCGGCGGTGAGGCTGCTCGCTGAGGCGTTGGCGCGTTTGAGGTCGCACCGCTCGATGCGGGGCGCAGCGGCGGAAAATTGCTATTGTTCAGTTGCGGTGCAGGGGGCTGTGATGACAAGGCCGAGCCCCCCAGAGCACCGGCCGATACACCGGACGCGTTTGCGCCAGAAGACGACTGCTGCTGCTGCCGCGGCGGCGGCGGTGGGGGCGGCGGCGGCGGCCCCACGTGCTGAACCTGGCGCAAGCCAGGAACGGGAGGCTGACGCACTGCTACGGCTGGGGCTGGCCGTACAGCAGGTTGGGCGGCAACGTTGAGCCCCGCTTTCGGCCCCGCTGGCGGTGCCGCGTCTGCAGCTGCCTTGTTCCCTTTAGATTGTTGCCCCGATGCAGGGACCGCACTCTTCCCGGCCTTCCCGACGGTGGTTGCTACAGCAGCTGCTGCGGGCGCAGCCGATACTTCCTTGCTCTTGTGGCCCTTCTCCTTCCCGCCCGCAGCCGTCTCATGCTCCTTGCCCCTCAGGTTCGATGCCGCCGGCGTCGCTGCAACCGTCCGGCCGGCAGCCTTCCCAGGAGCCGTCAGCGGGTTGCCATTCTGTTGCGCGTGTGCAGACGTCTGCTGGTGCTGTTTGACGGTTCTGCTCGAGGCTGCGGCACTTGCATTTAACGCCACGGTCTCTGGCAGGCTATCCTCCAGACTAGAGGCCCTTGACTGCTTCCCTAACGCTGTCGGCTGGCACTGCTGCTGGTGCTGCTTTAAGGCTGTAGCCTGCTTGTTGCCACCCGCGCTGGAACCCGAGGAGGATGCGCTGTCCCGACCCTTCTCCTGAGCCGCTGCCTTAGAACTAGCCGAGCCGCTTGCCGAAACCGGCTGCGTCGCTGTTGCTGCGTGCGGCGAGTCCTTGGCCACGGACGTGGCCGCGGGTGGAGGTGGCTTTGTTGCTTGCTCCGGTTCCATATCCTCCGAGTCGGACGTGGGCTGCTGGTCGGGAGCCCCGCTCAAGGAAGCCACCATGGCGGAAGACGTTTGAAGCTTCTTCGCCCTCGCTTTGCTAGCTTTCTTCTCGCGCCTAGCCGCCTCCTTTGCTTCGTCCTCTTCTAAAAGGCGCAGCAGCTCAGCCTGAAGCGGCAGCGAGCGTTGCAAGTGGCAAAAGCTATGAACTAACTTCCCGCTGTACAAGTTCGAGGCCACCACGATTAAAAGAAGTACATGGACGAAAGCCATTTCATTCTGCAAACCTCTGGCTTAAACACATGTGCCGACGCCATGGTCCTCCGCACGCTATGGATATCCACTTCGTGCTTACTAATACGCCCAGGGTGACTCAGCGCAATCCACACGAGCACTTAGCGATCTGCGCTTGAACCACTACGTACCTCTGCCTGCTTCGCCCCAAGCTCCTTGTAGGCGTTTTCGAGCCGCTGTTCCAATAAGCCGTGACAAAGCACCGCGAAGAGCAGCAACGCATTACGACACGCCGTTTGGTCACGGAAAGCCACCTCCACCTGAGCAACCAATACGGAACAATCTGTAAATCTCAGCGGCCCCGGTGATTCATCAGCAGCGCATAAATTGGGGGATGTGTGCTTGTGTATGCCCTTGCACCAAAAAGATGAGGTGTGGATCCACCGTACTACAAAAGTGCATTTCACATTTCCTTAGGGTTGCAAAGCTTTAGAGCATGCACCACGTGCGGCGAATAGGTATGCAGCTGTACTTAATGACCGCATCGGACTATCGGTGATATGTTACCTGCGCCTTGAAGATCAAAAGGGCCGAATCCTGCAAAGCCTCCCGCGCAAGCTCCGGGGTCTCGGCGTGGCGAATGGTTTCTGGGCTGTCCTGGTCGCCAGCCGCAGCGTCGAAGGCCTACACGCGGCAACAAGTCAAATGCTTGTTAGGCGATGCTAAGCTGGCGTACGAAAAACGTTTTGTGCGATAGCGGACAGGCAACCCCTCTCATGCCTCTTAAGCCCCTTCACCTAAACCCAATCGTTACCTTCTGCTCCTGCACCTCTTCTGCCTTCTCGAAGAGGCAAGCCTCACCAGGCCCCTCTACGCGTACCCGCCCTTCGCCCGCGCGCAGCTCGTGGCCTTCGCAAAGCAGCAGACCCGTGGCCGCGTTGGCCTGCCCTGTCGCGTCCCGCCCAGGCTTAAGCTCCTTGAAGGCCCGGGTGACGTTGCTACGACACTCCTTGCAAATGCGCAGCTGCAGCTTCATACTGACATCCAGCTCCCCAAGGAAAGTCTCTTCATCCAACGTCATTAGTGCCTCGCGTCTGGGCCCGGGCAACGTGCTCCAGTACGCCAACAGCTCGTCTGGGGATACGGGCCCTGTGTGTAATTTGCATTTGTTCACGCCGGGGCGCTTGCACCAGCCGCTACCGCAGACCTCGCTGCAGGAGAAATGCTGTTCGCGGGTCTGGTCCCACATCCGCGCCTGCTCGAAGCGGCCGAAAGGGTGCGCCACCAGCAGGTCATCCGTCAGCGTGACCGCTCCGTCTTCCGAGACGGACAGCCCCGCGAAACACGCGTGGCCGGCAGCACAGATTGCACACTGTGGTGTTCCGCTTCCATTGTTCCGCCCATGGTTCGCTACGTATGCACAAAGCTCGTCGTACTGCAGCTGTATGAGTGCAAAACAACCAGAACAGTATAGCGAACGGACCCGCGCAAAGAGGTCTTTTTTCGGCAATCGTAGAAGCTGTCGCCGCTGTTGCAAGCTAAGGCTACACCAAAAGCTGTGCAGCCCGGGGTCCAGACACGCTGGCGCGTGAGGATCTATGGACACCAAGTCCAAGTGCTGCGGACAGACCATGGGCTTGATTCCAGGAGGTGATGAATGCATGTGCTGAGGTACCTGCTGTTGATGGCTCATTGACTGCAAGGATCCGCCCGTGGCATGATGCCCTTGTCTTCCGCCGCGAGGGGTCAGACTGCTATTGGTTCCACCCTGATGTACGTCTGCCGGCGCTGGCTCAGGCGCCGCAGTTTGCCTGTGTGGATTGACACCTAAGTTCGGGCCATGTGGCCCACCCACATTTCCTTGCGAGTGCACCACGGGTGTTGCTGGTGCGGCTGTTGGGTTGGGCGACCCTTGCTGATCGCTCGGACTTGAGTTAGCTTGCTGCAAGCTACACTGCCCAGGAAAAGGCGGTGGGGGTGGAACAGTGAAGACTGCCCTGCCCCCGCCAGCTTTCCGGTTAACGCAAGGGCTCATTGGAGCCCTGTCCTCCTTGCACCTTGATCAGGTAGCCCAGCTGATATGCATGAAAACTATACAATGGTATGGAGTTCCTGCACACCGGTGCCCTGCAGCTTTACGCCTGCACTGCAGCGAAACAGCGGCCAGAGCAGCATCAGCCAAGCACACGTCAGAAGTTGTCGGGCCAACATGTAGAGCAGTCCAACACACCATCGTAAAACAATATCAGATACCAGGGAAGTAAAACAGGTTCTGCGCAGCGCCGTAAAGGGCACGAGCTCAAATAGCGCCGTTGCCGGCGACAGCAACAGAACGTCTGAGTTCAGCCCTGGACGCTCCTTTCAAACCAAACTCTGCTGCTACACCAAAGCACTGGAGTGGTCGGATCTTTGCCCACAGATAAAAGCCGGTCCTCCTTGTAACCCCAAGATCGCTGGAAGACCTCAGCGCCAAGCGCACTTCCATAGCTTAAACTCCTCTACCATTTCGGTCTAAGCTTTCCCATGCTTACCGAGCGGGATCGTATCCCACCTGACGCCGGCTTGCCCCCGCAAATGTTGACGCGAACAAGGTCAGGTAAAGCAAGGTTGTAAGTATATCTAACTTTCGTCTGATGTATGATATGGCAAGTTGTATAGCTGCAACTTGTTTGCCGTGAAGGAGCGGGAGCCAAAAGGCATAATTACCGTATTGCGCACCCAGGACCCAGCACCCCTGCGGAACGTAGAATTTGCATTTCAATGCCATGACCCCATGTGCATATAGGTCTCACATCTGGGCCGCCGCCTTTCGACCTACGAAGTCTTGCCCATATCCCATTCAAAACCCGCTTACGAAATTTTTACAAGGGTACACAAGGATAGAGTTAATTTCTTTCACTTTGCTCTTGGTGCAAACATTCGACCTGCACAGGTCGCCCGGCAATCCTTTGGCGAAGTGGGGTAACCGAGGTTTTTGGTGGCTTTCCCTTGATTGTGGCATGGTTTAATTCGCCTCATAATTCTTGAACTATGTCGGAAGGCTGTTCAGAGTTTGACGGGGAACGAACTTCGGAACGACGCGTTTTCCGTTTGTTCCGCAAACACAATTACAGTTATGTTCCTCTGTTCACAGTGCGCATGCATAGGTTATTTTCGTGTTACGTCCTCGCTTAGTGAATGCGGCCTTGGCAACGTTATCATCCATGTTTCTACGTCAGCGCAATGAAGTCGTAACCAACGAACTCCGGAACACTTTGAGTTCCCTTGGATACAACCGATTCGCGCTATTTCAACCTCACAAGCTTTTGGGAGACAATCATCAGGAGTCAGTCGTCATCCACAGGACAAAATTAAGAGTTCTCATTTGTCAGAACAATCTTCACAACGATTGCCGCGTTCGTTACGAATTTAACCCCCATACGGCATCTGAGTGTTGCAGCACACTTCTTCCACTGCGCCCGCTCACAATCACCACCTTAAGCCACGATGCTGATCATCACCATGCGCACGACCAACAGCAAGCCGGCGCAGCAAGTCGCCCGGTCAGCGCCAAGGTGCGTGCGTCACTTTGACGCTCCTAACCTTCCGCCCCGACCCAACAGAGCTAAATTGCTGAATCGCTTAAAGATAAAATCATTTCCCGCTATTTAACTCTCACGCTTCTGCTGAACTTCTACTGCTGGCCTTTGGAACGGCTCCTGTCGCCACAAACGCTGTTTCCTGCCATCCTCCCACATCCCCTAAGCACGCGTCCCTTTATTCAACTGCATGCACAAGCACATGCATGCAAGCGTGCATGTGCGGCGGATAACCCTCTCCATCCGAATGCGATACATGCACGGCGGCAGGTGGACATCCGGCGCCATACGAATCCCCGGGCCGCTCGGAGCCGCGGGCCATGCGCGGTTCACAAACACCCGAGTGACGGCCTCTGCAGGAGGCAGAGTTGGAAGGTCTGTTGCTACCGCCGCATCGGCCGCTGCCGACGATGAATACATTTCCAAGCGCTACAAGGCCGGTAAGCTCCCCCGGGCCCGGGTCCACACATACGCAATCTTGGATGGACCAGCCTTATTCGGGCCGCCGCCTTGCTCACTTATGCGTCGATATCCATGCCGTAGTCCTGGAATCCTGAGGGCAGCGTGATGGCCCCAGGAAAAATCCACTGAAACCGCCTGTACTGCACAAGCCTGCGTAACCCGTGCCGCCCTGCCTCCCTGGTACACAATATCTCCAGGCCGATGTCTTCACGGCATCGGCCTTAGTAATTGCATACAATACATACATACATGTGCGCACATACAGGGTGCCACGATTCCCGCTCAGCGATGCGCCGCCGCGTCAGCCAGAGCCGCCGCCATGTCGGCACAAAGCATTCAGGGGGTCCGCTGTTGCCGAACCACTTTGCCACTCCCTCCAAACGCCCTATCCGTCCGCCACATGCACTTCCTCGCAACATTCACGCCCAGAGCTCCACATGATGTCGAGCCGCCTGGGAGGTGTCGTACAGCAGGCCGTGGCGGCAGCGGTGCTTGGCACGGCTGGCGGCCGGCCATCGTCGGCGGCGGCGGCGCCGCCGCCGCGGCCGCCGTCGACTCCGGCCGCCATGGCGTCGGCATATCTGCGCTGCCTCGAGGCGCAGCTGCAGGCGAAGAAGTATATGAGCCGCGGTGGGTGTGGGTGTTGGCGTACATGTATGACAATGGGTGAAGCGCAGCTAGTGGTGTTGTGGCGACAAAGTTGGTGTGTCAGCCGCATTGTTGGCGGTGGTTCTGGCTTGGTGTCTCCAAAGTTATTAACCACTGCGTGCACAGGCAGGCGGGGCCCGAGTGCAGGTAATGAGTTGAAGGCATTAAATTGATTTCCGTAACCGCGCTGGCGCCAGTTGCCCTCTGTTGCCCTCTGTTATGGCTCTCTCCTGGCTGTGCACGTTGTGAAGTTCGTTGTGCGGCCTTGCCTTACAGCATCAACGTCCAACAGGGATCAAAGCCACAGTAACAACCACAACCACGAACACCATCGCCGCCGGCCTCCAAAACCGTCACACATACGTACATACATACTTACTTACTTACTTACTTACTTACTTACTTACTTACTTTTCTCCAGTAACCCAATAGCAACACGCCCTGTGAGTTACCCCCGGCATGTCCGACGTAGCCTCTACGTGCCTTAACACTTACCGTACAGCATACGTATCCTTTACGTACCGTATAACAGATGACGAGGCGGGAGATGTGTTGGGCAGTTTTCCGAGCTCCTCGCTTTTTTACTACCCCGGCGGAGGGCTCCAGGTGGGGTCGGGCACAGTTGTACGGGCATGTACGGACGTGTACAGCATACTGCCGTCTGTATGTCGGCCATCGCTGGCCGCCGCAGAGTTATCTGCTCTTTTTTCCATCTTTCCCCCTCTCTGGTACGGCGGCGGTAGGGAGCACGGAACGGCACGAAACACACACGCCCGACCTGCCAAAGAACCTGACGACCGGGAGGGGGGAGGAGGAAGAGAGAAACGGCGTGCTGCCACGCCATTTGCATTCACCAGGCCAGCGACCGTGGGTGTGGTTGCCAGCGAACATGTGTGTGATTGTCGCCACCCACCGCCACCGCAGGGTGTGGTTGAGCACTTGGCGGCTGCGGTGGCGGAGGCACGGGGCGCGGCCGCTCCAGCGGTGGCCTCCGTCATTCGCTCCTTAGCAGGTGCTGTAGCACGACTGGCGGTACAGCCTAACGCCGAGGCAGCTCGCGGCAAGGCGGCAGCGGTGATAACGTGCCTGGTGAGTACGAGAAGTACGACAACGGGGTTAGGAAAAGTCGAATAAAGGACCTGTACCGGCACTCCAATTTGGAGGTGTCGTGGGGGGGGGTCCGAAACAGTCAGAAACGCGGCTCAGTAATGGGCAGGCGTGCAGGACGAGACATCTTGCCGCGATTATTGGAATGTTGATTGATTTAAATGTGTGGAGTACCGAGCTATGTAGCGGTAAAGAGGGGTAAGGAGCTGCAGGGGGCCCTTTCCAGCAGTCCATTTGTCCCCTTCTCTTCCCGACAGAAGATCGCCGTTAGGAATCCTTTATACACACTGCAGCCATCAGCGGTGCGTTCCGGCTTATTCAATCCCGGCATAGGATTTTCCGCTCTTCTGCGATCCGTTACTTCTTCGGCCCACCGCCAGTAGAACTCCTCCGAGCCACATGAAACTTCTGCTATACATGCTGCATGCATAGGTAACCCCGCGCATGCCGGGCGAGCCGCATGCAGCCGTCCCCGCATCCCCTTTTCTAAACCTTCCCACCCCTAAGCTAAGGAAGAAGCTGCATAAGACCCGTAGCAGGAGTCAGAATGAGATACATAAATAAAAAAACTTCATAACAACTCGAGAAGCAACGTGCTGCCCTCTTGAGGAGCAGGGTGATACTTTTCCCATCGTGACCTGCGCCTCCTTCATCTCCCTACATGGCCGCCTCCACCTCAATCTCTGCCGCAGGACGGTATGGCCGAGGCGCTGCAGGGCGCCACCAAGGGCACCTCAGCGGCGGCAGCGGTGGGCGCACAAACGGCGTCCGCTGCCGTGAGTCTGTCCCCGTCTGATGTGGAGGAGGCTGCTGTGATGGTGGGACTGGAGGCTGGTCAGGTTCTGCGGGAGGTGGCGACGGTGATGGATTGTATCGCAGGTGCCAGCCTATATATATAGTGGAGCGGTGGTGATGAGGGGGGTAGGAATGGGCGGCATGGAGATTGGAGGTGGAGGTAGGGATTGAACAGGTGTGGGGGTCTCGTCAGTGCGGTGTAGTGTGTTGCTTGGCTGGTTTCAGCTGGTGTGTGCTTCCAACAACATGCGGTACTCCTCCCCCGTAATCTCCCCTTTGTAGTGGTTTCTATGCTCTTTGCACATAATCCCCCCCTGGAGCCCCTTCACTTCCCCGCTAGCTCCCCTGGAGTCACGGGGGCTTTACCGCCTCGCGACTTGCCGCCCTAACTCTCCGCCACACACATCTCCGCCACACACACACACACACACACACACACACGAATGACCCCGGACGTCCAGCACCACCCATCGGTGCTTGTATCTGTAGTTGGATATCGCATCTAGTCACGCGACCACAGTACCAACACCCACTCCCACGCCACCCCACTCTCTCCACCCCACCACTCCCTACCATTGCAGGGGGTTCTCCCGACCTTCCCACATCGCACACCGAGGGCGGTCGGGCTGTGTCCCCCAGCACCCCCGTACATCCGCTGCTGTCAGCGCTGGAGGTCCGCCTGTACGCGGAGTCCACCTGGCGACCCGACTCGGCGGCCGAGGTGAGCTGGCGGGTGGCGTGAGAGTGAGGGTGAGGGTGAGAATGGGGATGAGGGTGGCGGTGAGGCGTGAGGGTGTGGGGTGAGGGTGAGGGTGGCGGTGAGGGTGAGGGTGAGTAGGGGGTTGGGTTGAGTTCCACGACACGCATCCACTACACCTCCACCTTGGTTGCTTCAGCTGATGAGAAGAAGGGTCGTTTTCTGCATGCATGCATGCATGCATGCATACATGCATACATGTTCTCTCTGGAAGGAGAACAACAATTCCGCCGGCGCGTCCTTGCGGCCGCGCCTTTTAGTGAATCCCCGCTCAACGGGCGCATCATTCCGAACACGTCGTACATGCCGTGCATCCGCACGGCGGCACCCCCAAACACACAGATCGCCGCCGGCCTGATAGACTTCGTGGCTGCGCTGCTGGCCCCCTCCCGTGCCGGCAACACCGGTGCCGTGGCCAGCACGGTGGCCCGGGGGTCAGCTTGTGCGGCACTGCACAACCTGGCTCGGGCTCTCAGCAGTCTGGCGGTCACCCTGCGGGGCCATCGAGTGGATCCGACGGTCGCGAGCAGGTCGGTGAAGCAAGCAAAGAGGGAGGGGGGAGGGGGTGAAGGAATCAAGGGCGAAGAGGAGGGGAAAAAGGTGGTTGGGGGTGGGAATTTTCGTTTGTTATGCCAGTAGGGCAGCTTCCCGCTGTTGCCAAGGGCACCACAGCGCATCTCTTCCTCCCCTCAGCTCTTCCGCCCCTTCCCCTCTGCCTGGCCTCCTGCCTCCCTCTTGCTGCCCACTGCCCACTGAAAGCACCGCTTCGTACGCCCTTCTGCTACCCGCTTTTCCTTGTCAAGTTTCCTCGCCCGGCATCTTCCCTATCCCAGGCGGTTCTTGACCCTTTGCTTCTTCCTGAATCATATGATTTCCCCGGCCCCTTCTTTCTCAGGCTACTTGACAGCCTGGGTGAGGCCCTAGCAGCCGCATGCATCACCCGCGACGCGACTGACCCCACCAAGGGGCCCCCGGCCCTGTCCACGTTCGGTGGGGCTCAGCTGCTGGTGGGACTGGCACGCATGGCTGCTGGTGAGGCGCTGGCGGAGGCTGTGGTGAGTGAGCTTGTTTTCTGGGGAGTGAGGAGGGTAAAATAGGTTGTGAGGTGGGACGTGGTGGTCGAGTGGGACAGTCGCGGCTACTGGGGAGAAAGGAATGGTGGTGGTGGTGGTGGTGGTTTTGTCACCCCAGCTTTCTACCCGGTTTTGCTTGCTTCTCTGACGGTCCCCGACTCCACCGGTTTCCTATCCCCAATGTACTCGCGTTCTTCGGCCCATATCCACTGGACTCCGACCCGACCCGGCACGCGGGTGCTACCACCTGCCGGGCGCAGGCCCCCGGAGGTGCAGCCGCTGCCGCCAGCGCCGGCGCCGCTGCCGTGGCGGCGGATGCCGCCGCCGGTGACGCCTCCATTGACCGATGGATGGCAGTGAGTGACAGCAGTCTGGTCCTGGACGCGCTGGCGGCTCAGGCTCAAGAGGTTGCTGCTACTCATCGCGAACACATCGCGCAGGTGCTGCAGGTAAAGGCATGGCTAAGGACTGGGGACCTGGCAATCCGAGCTGCGCCGGTTCGGCTTGTGGGGGGAGGGGAGGTTCCGGGTGTAGAGTTGGGGGCTCCACACCTACACCTACCCACACCCACACCCACACCTACACCCACACCCACACCCACACCCAGGACCTGAGGGACGTACCCAGCAGTCTGGGGAACCTGTCGGAGCTGCCGCCACTGGCCGCCGCAGCATCGGCCGCGGAGGACCTGATGCGCCGGGCGACCTGATGCGCCAGGCGACGGTCGTCGGCGGCGCCGCCGCTGTGGACGCCGCCGCTGCCGCAGTAGCGGCGGCAAACCAGGCGGCCGTGGCGGACCTTGGGGCCCAACGGGGATCAACGCAGTGCGAGCCAGAACATGTACACCAAGTACAAAAGCTATGAAACGAAGCGCTTGCGTCTTTGGAAAAATCCAACCTACGTCTTTGGAAAAATCCAACCTACGAACATATTACGCACACACATGAGCAAACAGACAGGCTACATCGCCTGCAGGTCATAATCAAGTGACGTATCTCCTCCGCTCCGCCACCAGCAGTGATTTGGTAGTGCAGGTTGGCAGGCTCCGGAGCGGACTCCATGCGTCCTGAGCACCTTAAGAGCTGTTGCTACTGCCAACGCCTTCCCGTGGCGGACCTTGGCGGCAGCAAGGGCGCCCGGGAAGGCGTTGGCAGTAGCAACAGCCCTTAAGGTGCTCAGGACGCATGGAGTCCGCTCCCGAGCCTGCCAACCTGCACTACCAAATCGCTGCTGGTGGCGGAGCGGAGGAGATACGTCACTTGATTATGACCTGCAGGCGATGTAGCCTGTCTGTTTGCTCATGTGTGTGCGTAATATGTTCGTAGGTTGGATTTTTCCAAAGACCCAAGCGCTTCGTTTCATAGCTTTTGTACTTGGTGTACATGTTCTGGCTCGCACTGCATTGATCCCTGAGGCCTCGTCACGTGCGCTTCCGAACGGTCTTAGGGCTCCGTTGCGTGCAGGAGGAAGAAGGCCTCTTCATTCATAGTAGTACATACGGTACATACAAGAGCATACTAGGAGAGAAAGCCGGGTACGGCAAAACGCATAGCAGGCAGTCATCTGAGGGCGTGTCGCGACTGAGGAGTGTGTGTATGTGTGTATGTATGTGTGTGTAAACGTATGTATGTATGTATGTATGTATGTATGTATGTATGTATGTATGTATGTATGTATGTATGTATGTATGTATGTATGTATGTATGTATGTATGTATGTATGTATGTGTGTATGTATGTATGTATGTATGTATGTATGTATGTATGTATGTATGTATGTATGTATGTATGTATGTATGTATGTATGTATGTATGTATGTATGTGTGCGTGTTTTACAAGTGGCTGGCGGTGCTGTGCGGCTCATCCACAAAGGATGGTTGCAAGAGGCCTAGCCTTCCTCTGCCGCACAGTCGTGTGTAGTTGCTGAATCGGAACATTCACGACATGGATCTCGTTGATTGTTGTAGCAGATCCGAGAAAGGGCATCGTTGCAATCTGCTCCCTAGCACAACATCGGCAGGCGTATTGCTGTTCGCAGTTGGTGGATAGGCGGGAAGCAGTCCGGGATACGTCTGCCCTTTCGGCGCTCTTGCTGTTGTTCGAGGAGGCGGGGGAGGTGTGCAGCTGATGGGTTCCGCCGTAGAAGTCAGGGCAGGACACAGGTTTTTAATTGCTGCTGCTGGCAAGCTGTGCAAGTCGAGGTGGGGGAAGGAAGCAAGTCCCTACTGTGGCAAAAGGTGGTCTTGCAAGGGGAAGGCCTTCGCCGCATTGACTTTCTCAAAGCTGGACGGACTTTGGAATTTTACTCGAAGCAAAACGGAAAGGAGATGCGTCTTGTATAAGCCATGGGGATGCCTCACTGTCATGGTGGTTTTGAGCGGTTTCGCGACCCAAGGGTCTATTACTATATTTCCACAGCTTTGCCAGACAGTCAGCAGCAAGCACTCCGTCCTCAGTGCGTACATGAAGTCCTGTCAAACCTGCGCTCGTATTGTCACAGAGATTAGCGCGGCTTGAGTATGTTACTTGAGCTTGCAGGTATTTGTTTGGTGTTCTTCCGCAGATGCGTGGTACAGCTGAGCGCTGATCCAAGGGATCTGCTAGCCATGTATGTGTATCGTTACCTGTTGCCGTTCCATTTCCCCGGCAACACGCTTAGGCGGAGAAAAACCTTAATTTTTCTAGAGGTGTGGTTTCATCCTCTGCCAATCAGCTTTTCGCTGGAACCTCTTTTATGACTGTGTCCAGTGATAACATTATGTACATACCCAACGTTTCATGCATAGGACCTACTGGTATTCGTCCAAAAATGCTGCTCAGGCGGTCAGATACATGGAACAGTAATAATTTTCTTAACTAATTTAAATTGTCACAGCATATATAGAATAGACTTGCTAAAATCCAGCCTGGAATGGGTTCATTGGTTCTGTCGGGCATCGAATAAGTTCTAGCGGTGGAAATATTACCTGCCATACCATCCCTAGCTTGCTTTTCCTAATCAGAAATTAGATATGATATGGCAAGACTCTACTTTGTATAGTTTATAAGGGGGCGGCATAAGGCTTCGCCCACCGCCCCGAACCAGATAGTTGTGCAGTAGGCCGCAGCAAGACCGACATGCAAACTTGAAATGCCTGGCTTTAATCAGGTAGCTCTTGCACGCCATGCACATGGGCTCCTTGTCGCAGTGCAACAAGTCCAGGCCCGGGCACCTCCAGGTGCTCGCCCGGTCCCTCCGCTCCTGCACGAACATATCAGCGTGATCACAGCTGCTTTACAGCGCATTCATGAGCAGTTTTCCCTTCTCATCGGTGGCGACCCACTCGTGGTGACGCGGGGTGATGGCGGCATCCGCCCCGACGATGTCCTGCACCTAGCACGGTGGTGGCAGGACGGCCGCCTAACGCACCTGATCCATAAAATTTTCCTTTTGGCGGTGCGCGACGTCGCGACGGTGTGCGCCAAGGCACCAGGCGGGCCATCCTCAGTCAATGTCTCCCGCGCCCCGTCCCGCAGCGTTTCCCGCGCATCCAGCAGTAAGCTTGGCAACCCGATTTCCGAAGCTGAGAGGGCCCAGAGGAGCCACGCTGCCTTTGAGCAGTTCCTTGGAACTCCCAAGGCCGCGCAATGCATCTCTTCCTTGGTAGTCCTGCAGGGTGTACTACAGCTGGTACTCGACGCGCTGCAGCTGCTGCGCAACCGGCCGCCAGGATCGCTGCAACCTCCGCCGCCGCTGCCGCCCCCACCACCGCCAGCAGAGCGCGATTCGGAGCAAGGCGAGGGCGAGGCCGCTGACGCCATCGACGAGGCAGTCGCAATCTGCGTGACAGTAGTGGCTGGCAGCGACGCTGCCGGAAGCAACAACGGCGACGCCTCGGCTGCCATTTCTTCCCCCGGCCAGCCTGAATCAACTGAGGCAACAGAGCCACGGCAACCAGCCCTAGCTGCGGAAAGCAGCAGCACAGGGTCCATCCGCAGCCGTGGAAACCGAAGTCGTCAACCGTCCGATGGGCCGACCAACTCGCCAAGGGCGGGAGGCGCAACAGCGCAAGGGGGAAAGCTCCCGCCGCTGAAGCCCGGGACCTCCGCCGCCGCCGTGGCGGCACCGGCAGCGGCAGCAGCGTCGGGGACCCAGCGGCAGCCGTCACCACCACGGTCATCATCTCCATCGCAGCCGCGAACGTCATCGCCACAGCCGCGCGCGTCATCGCCGCCACAGCCCCTGAGGCCCGAGGACGAACGCTACCAGCGGCTGTGTGCCCGCCATCGTCACGCGGAGAGGCTCTACCTGGCCTGGTCAGGGCTGCAGGACGCTGTGCTGGACCTGCTATGCAACAGCCCTTTATTGATGAACTTAACGGAGCTGCTCCGCTACACCGCAGCGCTTTTGGCGCTACCTAGCGTCGGCGGCGGTGCCGGTGCCGGCGGCAACACGCCGCGCACGGTAGCGCTGTGGCGGCAAGTCTGGTCGGTGGTGCCGCCGGTGGCGGCCCTAGCGCACGCCATAGCGGCTTCGGCGGCGGTGTCGTTGCTGCCAGGACCGCCGGCGGCAGTGGCGGCGTCAGCGGGGGGTGGGCCGCCGCCACCTAACGCGCCGCCAACCCCATTAACGGACCCGACGTCAGCGGCGGTGCTACTGGCGGCGCTGGCGGATAGTTCGCTGGTGCCTGCCTGCTGTGATTTGGTACTGGCAGTGTCGCGCACCGCGCTGCAGAACAGCTCCGCCGCCCGCAACAACGTCGCTCTCGCGGCACAACAGCTGCTGTCGGCGTCGCTCCGGCTGTCAGCTGTGGCAGAGGCAGGTGATGCCTTCAAGCCACAGCCACCGCTGCAACCCGCGGCGGCGACGGCCATGACGTTGGAACCCTCTGGCGCCGAAGCGTCAGCCCCCGACGGCACCGTCCCTTCTATCCCTGATCCTACCGCGCCGCCAGGGACGCCCCCGAACGCGTCCGGAGAAGTGCCGGCGGAAAGGCGGGTCAGTGGTGGCGGCGGCGGCAGCGGCGCAGCTTTGCCGCCGTCGTCACAGGACGGTGACGGTGGTGGTGAGATGACCTACGGCAGCGATGCCACGGCGACAGAGCTGGAAAATGGGGACCGGACCACCGCCATGTCGGCTGACGGGCAGCGATTGTCGAGCAACGATGGCGCCGGCGGCGGAGCTGCGGGTGTCCGTACTAGCGGGCCTGGAGGAGTCCGTGTCAGCGACGAATCAGTGCGTATTAGCCGAGCCAGCGGCGATGCAGTTGGGAAGGATGGCACAGGAAATGATGCTGGTGACGGCGCCATGGGGACGGACTCTATGGGCAAGGGCTCAGCCGATGGCGCCCCGGGCAGCACTCCGCCGCCGCCGCTGCCAGGGCCTACTGGAGACGACTCGGCGTCGCCTGCGACGGCAAGTGCAGCAGTCTTAGAACAGCCGCGGCGCTCTTCAGGGGAGGGTGCGGCGCCGGCAGTGGATGCCGCTGACGGCGGGACCGCTGGAGGGGGGAATACGGGACCGGATACCGCTGACGGTTCTGCAGCGGCGGGAGATGTGGTGGCTAGCGCTATGGAGGTGCCGCCGGATAAAACGAATGCGGGAACTATCAACGGTGCCGCAGCGGTGGCGACGGAGGGGATTGAGGGGTCCCAAGGCCAGGGCGGGAAGGCGCCAGGGTCGGAAGGCAGTCATCCGGCGGCTCAGAGCGCCATTACGGACGTGGCCGAAGATGCTAGTGGTGTGCCACCAGGCGTCTCCGAAACCGCGGTGGATGTGCCGAGTGCTGGTCTGGAGGTCGCGGAGGAAAGCGGCGGCGCTGAAGCGGCGGCGGATGCGGCTGGGCCTGGGGTCGAGGCAGCGGCAGCTGACCCACGCAGACCCACGCCGCTGCCGCCGTTACCTGCCGGCGCCGCTGCCGCACTGATGGTCCTTAGCACACCTGCCGTACAGTATTTCCTCTGTGAGCGCCAAGCCAGCGCTGTCGTACAGGCGTACAGCGAGATTGCCGCCACGGCGCCGCCACCACCGCCTAACGGCAAAACCTCTGTCACAGCTGCCATCTCGGCGTCGGCATCCCTCAGCACCACATGGATCGTGGAGCCAATGCTGACGGGTACGCCGCCCTCGTCAGGCGTGACGCCGCCCGCCGCCAGCAGCACCGGCAGCGACGCCGCCGCGGCCGCTGCCTCCTTTACCGGCAGCGGTGGCGGTGTGTCTGTGGCGGGCGTGCTTGACGTCGCCCGATCCTGCGGTCTGGACCTTTTGCCCGTACCCGCACTTCCCTGGAGTGTGCCCATCGAGGCCGCCCTGGTAGCGCTGCCGGACATGCGCACCGTACAGCAAACCTTTGCCAAGGCAGCATCCACTGGTGGCGCGCCTGTCAATAGCGGCGGCCCAATGAGCGGCAATGCGGCACTCGACGCCAGCGTCGGACCGCTGGGCCACCACCTGCGTACAGAATCAGCTGGCGGCGCGGTGCACTCGGGCCCGATGTGGTCGCCGCAGTCCCTTTCCGCCGGCCCTTCCGCTGCAACCATTAGCAGCGGGCCAAGTGGCCCCCAGATCGGCCGCCGCCGCCTGGACAACCATGCGCAGGGACCTTCTAGCGGCGGCGGCGCTGGGAGAGGCGGCATGCTGGCAGGAACGGCCGTGGGCCCGAAGCTGCCGCCGCTACGGATGCCGCTACGGCAGCTGGACTCGGATGCCCGGCGTCGTGAGGCACAGAAGGTGCAGCGGCAGCAGGAGGCAACGGAAAAGGAAGCCCAGCTTGTCAGCCTGGTGAAGGCGACCGCTGTCACGTGGCAGGGCCTTATCGAAGCCGCCGCGACAGCCGTAGGCCCGGCGGCTGGCGGCGATGGCGAAGACGCCACGCCGTATGTTGAATATGTATATGGCGCAGCCGGCCGCCCTGCCACGCCGTCCGGGCACGTGCCCAGCGCCAGCCGTGTATTGCTGCAGCTCATCTCCGCCGCGGCTGTGTGCCGAGCGGCCAGTACGGCAGAAGCGGCGGCGAGCCAAAGCGACGGTGGCAGGGCGGGCTCGCCTCCCCGGGTCCGGAGTGGGCGCGCAGGCCGCGTCACTGCGAGCGATGCCGGCGCCGGCGGCGGCGACAACGCGCCGGAGGAGTCACTGGCGGAGCTGCTTGCAATGCTCATACGCAACTTGACGGCCTCTCACAGGCTGTGCACGGAACCGGAGCGTACGACACTGCACGAGCAGCTGGCGGCATTGCTGGCGGCGGCGCTGGCGGCTTCACAGGTAGGCATTGCGCTGAGGAGTGCTGGGCTTCACACATGTGCATTCCCATGCAAGTTTATCCGTCTTTTCCCTACCCAACTAGCCTTTCCTCATCACCATCCTAACGCTTTTAGGCTCCTAACCGCGGTTTCATCTTTTCCTTTTTCCGTCAACAACCTTTTAGGCCATGGTTGCGCGCACCGGCAGCCCCGACGTGTCCACGCCGCTGGTGGCTGTACCGGAGGCATGCCTGGCCTGGATGGCGGAGGCGGAACGCCAGCGGGCACTGGAGCTGGCGGTTTCGGAGCGTGAGATGGAGGCCGCGGACCTGGCGGCAGCGGAGGCGGAGGCGATACAGCTGGAACGCGCTCTCACGCGACCGGACGAGGAGTTCACGGACGAGGAGTACGCGGCCTGGCAGCAGCGGCTAAGCGGCACCGACGATGGCGGCAGCGGGCTGTCGCGTGCGGCGGAGGCAGTGGCACGTGCAGCGGCCGTACGGTTAACGGCGGCGGCGCGCGACGCTGCACGGCTGCGTGTGGCGGTGGCGCTGTGCGAGGCGTGCGTTCGGTTCCTAGTCGCACATCACCAGGGCATGGTGGCGACGCTGCTGCGGGCAGGGCTACTGCGGCCTGGACTGAAACTGCGGCAGGAGCATACACGGCACGCGGCGCTTCTGCAACAGGTGAGTGAGTAGTGAGTGAGTGCATGTCTGTCTGTCTGTCTGTCTGTATATATATTTGTGATGTGTATTTGTAGTGGGCTGGAATGCGTCATATTGAGCAGATTGCGAGGAAGGGAAAACGGCGAACGGAAAAGGGCGATGGAAGATCTGTTTGGATGAAGAAGCGTGGAGTGAAAAGGACGAGGGAGTGCTGGCAGCCTTCTTCCCGGCGGTGACCCTTCGCCTCCCCCCAGAAGTCCTCTTAGACTGGAACGTGCTATCACTCGTGCGATCACTCGCTGTACTCCTCTGCACCCCCTCCATGAGGTCAATGCTCCTTTCCTTTCCTTTCCCCCCTTTTGCTGTGCCCATTTGCCTGGCGGTGCCTTGCCACAACATCGACCGCGCGCCTGTTTCTGCGCCACTGCAGACGCTGGAAATGCTAGCGCACCTCGCCGCATGCTGTGCTTCCGCCGTGGCGGAGGCACACGCGCCACGTGCGCTGCATGCTGCCGCTGCCACCGCAGCAGCAGCCGGGCCGCAGCCGCCGCCGCACCGCTCGCCCCTCGCGCTCGCCGCCGCATCTCATGCCATGGTTGCTACCGCCGTCGACGTGACGTACACACCCGTGTTGCGCTCTCTGCACAGCGCACTGTTGTCGGTGCGCAAGTGCCTGGCGGTATGCTCGCAGCAGCTGGCTGCCGCTGGCGGTGCGGCCCTGGGGCTGGCGCCCGTCGCCGACGTGTGTGCCGTACTGTGCGCTTTCCCCGGGCGCCTAGTAGCGCAGCTGCTGCCGGCGCACGAGCTAGTAACGCTGCGACACGCCAGCGGCCGTGCTAGCGCCGGTGTCGCCCGTATGAGCGGCAGCGCTCGCCCAAGTACCGGTGATGGGGCAGGAAGAAGCTGCTCGCCCACGCCGTCGGCACACGCGGCGGAGGCAGACGCGTCCGCATCAGCGGCCGAGGCCGAAGCATCGACGAGCGAGGCCGCGGCATCGCCAAAAGAAACGGCTTTGGAGCCGTCATATGGCAATGGCGGGGCCACAGCGGCCCCTCGGGCACAGTTCGCCTGGGGCTTGGAGCCGATCATTGAGGTCTCCGAACTGTCATCGGCCATCTCGTCGTATCCCAGCCAGGCGGCCCAACAGCAGCAGCAGCAACGGGGGGGGAATGCACAGCGGCGATCCCTCAGTCCGACGCAGCCTGTGGGGGGAGAGCATGACGGCGTGGAAGGCAGCGTGATAGACGACCTGGACTCCCCAGCCGGCGGTGGCGGCGGCGGCAGGGCAGGTGCGGACGACCCGGAGCAGCAAGGTTACGAGATGGACTTCGAAGACCCTGCCGACACGCAGGGTGCTGCTTCGGACACGCGCTCGAAAATGGTGACGTCACGCCGGGCAAGTGGTAACAGCACCGTCAGTGCCGAGCAGGCGGCGCGTGCGGCAGCAGCGGTGGAAGCCGCCGTGCCGTATGTCGCTCGGGCCATTGCGTCCAGCGCGCTGCACACCACTGTGCCCGCCGCGTGGCGCGTCTTTACGAACCTCTTTCTGCAGCTGGCCTCCGTGGAAATGGCCGCGGAGGAGGAACAACGCCTAAAACTGCAGCAGCAGCAGCAACAACAACACTCGCGATCCGTGGGTCTGTCCTGGGCAGACGCACCCTGCTCTTCTTGCTCCGGAACCAATGATGGCGCGACGGAATACAGCACTTACAGCTTCAACTCCAGCCGCGCGGATACGACGCATCTGTCACAGCCGGTGCAGCCGCCGCAGGCGGCGGCCGCAGGCCCGGTACCCGCTGCACTGACCCAGGGGTCGGAATCGCCGGCTTTGGGCAGCGCCCTGTCCGCAGAGCAACTGGCCGCGTTGTCCAACGCCACGACGGGTTTGTGGGACTTGCTGCACGTGCTGCTGGCGGTGCACCGCGGCGCCGGCGCACCCTGGCCGGCGGAGGCGTTTGCACTGCCGGCGGAGCGAGAAACGGAGCTGCGGCGGGTTGTGCGGGAGCTGCAGCAGCAGCCGCCGCCACCGCCGCCGCCGCCCCAACAGCAGCAGCCGGTGCAGGAAGGTGCAGCGCAGCCGCCGGATGGGAACGGGCCTGCTGGCGTCGGCAGCCGCAGCGCGCACGGCTCACAAGACGGCGTTGGTCCAGACACGGCTGCAGCAGCAGCGCTGGCAGGTGGCAGGGCAAGTGGGTCGGAGAGCCAGAACGGTGGCTTGCGGCTTAGCAGTAGCACGGGCGGGGGACTACTTCTTAGCGGCACAACAGGGACGATGCAGGACGAAGCCGGCAGCTACCTGCCCAGCCCATGGCCCAGCGGCGATAGCGGCGACAGCAGTAATGCGCAGGGGGCACCGGATGGTTCGGCCAGGGCGTCCAGTCCCAATGGCTGCTCCTTGGCTGCGAGCCACACGTCCGGGGGTTCGCAAGTCACGATGGCGCAGGACGGGGCAACAGAGGCGGCAGCGGCGGTGGCGGCGAGAGCAAGCCTAGACGTGGCCGGCCCTGTTCGGAACTCGTCGCAGAACGGGACACGGTTGATGCCGACGAGCGCACTTGGACGAGGTGTTGGCAATGTGGATGGAAGCAGTGATGAACGTCGCAGTGATGGGGCTGGTGTTTGCGGCACGGATGCCAAAGATGAAGGTGCCCTGGAGCAGGCGGCTACTGAGATCAGTGTCGTACAGGTTGTTTCGTCCGAGCTTCCGACTGACGGAACGGCGGCGGGGAGCCCCGCGGGGGAGGCCCCAGGCGGCGGTACCCAGGGGACAGAAAGCTCCCCCGACAACGAGCAATCCGACAACGCCGGCCCGCCGTCGCTGCCGACAGAGAAGCACCAGCAGCTTCAGGAGAATCCACTACATGCGCAGGAGGTGCTGCAAGAGCAGCAGCAGCAGCAGGAGGGCCTGCCGTCGGAGGCCCAGCAGCAGCCTGCAGATGCCGCCGCCGCAACAACAGCAGCAACAACTAGCACCCAATCGCTGGCAGACAAGGTGCCAGCATGGCGGGAGGCAACGATGCTGCTGGAGCAGGTGTTCAGTTTATCGGAGGCATGGCAGGAGCTGAAGGCAGCGGAGAACGCTCTGGAGGAGAACTCCCGGGCCCATGCGCCGCGGCTACTGTTGGGAGATGTGCCCGCCCCGGTGCCGTCGGCACAAACCATGGAATCGTCGCCCAAGGGCACCGAGCCGTCGGCGGCGGCGCTGCTGGCGTCGTTCCTGCGCGGCGGCGATGCTGCTTCGGGTAATGCACCGACCATCAAGACCCGGCGCCTCCAGTCCAGCATCAGCGGCGTTACTGCAGCGGCGACGGCGGCGGCGGCCATCCCGACGGCGCCGCCGAAGCTGATCCTCACCGCCGCCGAAGCTGCTCGCGCCATGGCGGGTGCGCCATCGGGCGTCGGCGGGCGTGCCACATCACCGTCGGCCTCGAATGCCGCCACAGCCGCCGCAGCCGCGGCGGCGGCACTACCGTCGGGGTGCTCGTACTCGGGCTGTACCACGCTCGCCGGCGCGAGTGAAGTGGCCCAAGGTAGGGCCCTGGTCTGCCGCTGTGAGCGCGTGAGCTACTGCAGCTCCACCTGCCAAATGCTTGACTGGATGGACAGCCATCATAAGGTCTGTAAGGGCCGACCGCCAAAGAACTCGGTACCAGCGTCCAAAGCCGCCTTAGCCGACGCTATGGCAGCGCAGGCGGCCGCGGGCTTCACCGCCGCTGCGACGGCGGAACCAATCGGCGCCGCAGCCGCCATGGGCGCTGCTGTTCGGGGTTCCTTTGGGCGGCGCGCTGTCGCAACGCGACGTTAGAACCCATTCATTTATGTCTTCATGCAAGAGGCACAGCATTTCTTAATTCGGCTTGACATTGGGGCGACATTGAGAGATGATGTATCGGGATTGGGGTTGGGGTTGGGGTTGGGGTTGGGGTTGAACCAAGCTCCACCTTAATAAACGGGCTGAAGTGCGGTTCGGGTTTGTTGGTAGTCGGGGTGCTGCGGTTGAGGGAGATCGGTTGTGGGAGTGTGGAGAAGCGGAAGCTGCTGCGGACGTCAATGGCATGCCACTCGGGTGTCGCGGTCGTTCCCTCATCGGCTCGCTGACCTTGGGTCACCTCCTGGCTGTCAGGGAGTTGGTTGTGGGAACAACGAGCATATTCCCATTTCCGATTTACTCATGCGCACAAAGTCCATGGCTGGGAGGGCGGACCCTTTCCAGTTGGGGACCAGCAAACAGCATTAGAGCCGNCTGGAGAACAAACAACAAACATCATCGCGGCGGCGACAACCAATCATTGCAATAGCATGCAGGCGGGCAATCAGCCGGGTTGTGTGGGGCGGGGTTACGAAAGTACGACATGCTGGGTTGCAAGGATGCAAGTGTGCATGTCCCCGAGCCAATTCTGCCAGGAGATGGCTCATGTGTTACAACTGGGACGTTGTTAGATGTGATTAGGTGCCTCAGCTTCGTACTGCGGGCACGGAGACGGGTATCCGGCCGTGAATGATGTGCGAAGGAGAATTGTGCAAAGTTGGGGTACAGCTTCACCCTGGTTGCCACTAGCCTGGCAGTCCCCAACGTTTCGGGGCGCCCTCATGCTTATCACCCACGTATGCCGGTTTCTGCAAAGTCAGTGATTTGTTCGGGTTCACCGCCCCACCATCATCACCGGCATCGTCCAGTGGAAAGTACGGATCAACGGCGATGTGGACTCCATTCCTGGCCGGGGTGTAGTGGCCCGCTCGCAGGCTCATCTCTACAACAGGGTCCGCCACCGCCCATCGACATGGAAATGCACCCGCCCATCCGCCCTCTTATTTCTGTCCTGCTGTTTGTCGGAATCGAACTTTGAACCTTTCCAGGGACACAATGCCGCGCCTTATAAGCCTATTTTCTGTGTCTGGAGCCGGATTATATGTGGCGGTTGCTTGGAGGTGGAGTGGCGCTTCCTGTGATGAGCAGTTCACAATTACGGCTGTCAGCGACTTATTGGTGCTGGGGTTGCTAGCTGTTGGGTTTACGTCGTCAGTAGTTGATGGTTGTCGGTTACAATTGTCCGTTGCGTTTTGGCTAGTCTTGTGCACAGTCCAGATGGATGTGAAAAGCTGCAGCAAGGTACGTACTGTTAGTTTCTTTCTTTCTTGCTGCAGTCATTGTAGCGCACGTGCTGTATAATACATTGCGGTAAAGGGACAGTTGGATTTGGGCTTCAATGATATGGAGTCGTCATGCTGTAGGATAAGCTTTGGCTGGGGCCTCCAACCATGTGTGCCAAGTCATGGCGGAAGCCTTTTTGTGTGTAAATATGGTCTTGCTGCAGTGAAGCCGGTGAACCTTTCTGGAAATGGGGCATTAACCGGACCATGGCAAACCAACACAGCAGATAAGGCGGCCTGCGTCTTTATGGCCATGTTCCTTATAACGAAGACATAATGAATCATGTGGTCCAGGTGCATGGTATATTAGGAAAGAAAACCTTTTTACGATGTACTGAACGCTTGCCTTGCTACAGCGCCGCAGCTGTTGCGCTCACTCGTTACGAAACAGCCGGCAGGCCGACCCTTAAACAAAGTCATTTAGGTCTACATTACCCTTGCGGCAGATAAATGCGTGAGATAAGAGGCTATTGAAGGGCCTTGGACAGCTAGATCAATCCAGGCTTGGTCGTGAAGTAAAAGCGTGAGGCGCCGCACACCTATAAACCACCAATCGCCAGCCTATAAACATGCACCTTCATCTTTATCATAAGAGCAAGAGGGAACTAAATTTGGACAGTGCTATTTTGTAACGAGACAATTTCCAACTGCACGTACGGCGACGGACAGGCTTACAGTTGCAGGTAACGAACCAGGGGCAGGGCGATGCATGTTTCACAACATCGCAAATTGTAGGTCAACAGCCTTCTTCCTCTCTGAAGCCGTTTGGGACGGAGAGCCCGCCGTTGAGCATGGCGTTGTCGATCTACCTGCCATCTCTTAACTAAGTTGAATCGAAAATGGTTTATGACTGAAGGTGCTCTGGTTAAGAAATATGGTCCTTATTTAAAGCCAGGGCTAAAATATGACGCCAGAACAACAGCCTAGTAATGGACCTTACAGACAGTCGCAGCAAGGTCCCGGCCCACCATCACAGCCTGCACGGACACTGTCTTCTGCTACAGGACTTAGTAGCCATGGAGCATCCCGCAAGCGTTTCGGGGGCGCCACCGTCGACCGCTCAGCTTACACCGCAGGCCAGGCGCTCGTCACAGTGGTAAACGATCCCAGGGCTGACGCGGCGAAAAACTGGGGCGCATGGCTAGGCTTCCGGGTACCGGACGTCAGCTGGCAGGATCCCCCGCCCCCGATCGATACGATGCGCTACCCGCCTGTGACGCGACGCGATCTAGCCAAGTACCTAGCGCTGGTCGCGGACGGCAGCTTCGAGCAGTTCCAGCAGACGCGTCAGAGCTTGGCGCTGGGTGGCATATCTCAGCAGTTTATGTCTTTTGAGGGCGACGCTGCCGACCTGGACGATTACGATCCCTCCTCGTATGATATCGGGTACAAGGGGTACAGCTTGGAGGGCCCCGCGGCTGCTCTCGATGAACCAAACCCATTCGCGGAGGGCGCGGACTCGCATTCCAGGCGCAGCAATGCGGGTGAGTATCCCACATAGGGCGATGCATCGCCCAGCACATGGGACTTAGCCATTGCGTCCCCGCTGCGCACCCAGTGCCGGCTCCGATATTCCCGGGGAAAAGGTAAGCATGGTGTATGGAAGGGGTGAAATGGTGATTGGCTTGGCGAAGGGTCGCCTGAGGTGCGCGCGCAGCGTGTGGTCATGGCACAGGCATCGGTTACGGCTCAGGTGTCAGTTATGGCTAACGAAGGGTGATGGTGGACATCAGGAGGGAACCGCCACCGCTGCCATCGCGGGGGCTCCGATAAGCATCTCCGGAGAACCTCGCCGCCTTCAGGACCGTTAGCGGCGCCAGCTGCAGCGGTGGTGGCGCAACAGTGGCGGCGGGATGACTTCCTTAATCTCCCCTATCTCACCTTATGAGTCACGTCGTTCCACTCACTCCTGGAGATTGACTCCGTCAAAAAACAGCTTGGTGAACCTTTGTTCCACACCGCTGCTGCGCAAAGCTGCGCTTGGGGGCCGGGGTTTGGACAACCTGGGACAGGGGTGGAGGGCGTCTGCGCGCCGAGAGACCTTGGGAAAGGGCATCTCCCTGTGGGACAAAGGGCCTACTGCTTGGTCGGTCTCCTCCAAGCCTGCCACGGGCCCGGCCAGCATGGCGCTTGTACGTGTGCAATGGCCCGGTCTCCAGCTTCAGGCGCCCAGAGCTTCTTCCGATGTCACCCGCGTCACCACCCTCGTCACCATCACCGCAGCAGCTGCTGCTGCTAAACCTAATGTTTCTTCCTCCTCATCATCATCATCGCCGCCTTCTGGGCTTCGTAAACCTCACCTCTCCTGCGGTAGCGCGCCTATGGATATACATACGCTCAACAGGCCATTTACTCCTCCTTCAAGCCGACCCTGGCAACCCCGCATCCCCCAACCTCGCGCCCGTGCTGCCCCTCCTCTCACATCTCCACCTCCAGGCCCTCCCGGGGAGCCCTCATTAACCCCCCACTCGGTGCAGCGGAACCCCGCTGTTCCGAGGCTCGCTCAGGGAGACGGCCTGGTCACGGCGCTGCAGGTGGGTGGCTGGGTGGCCGTGTGGGCCGAACTGACCTGGTTGCGGTTGTGGGAGTGGGAGACAACAACAACAACAATAATAATTATAATGATAAGAAGAAGAAGAAGAAAAAGAGCATCAGGAAGGATGACTGCGAGGTGCTCCAGGCAAGGGTGGAGAAAGGCCGGGCGATACTGGGGAGAGGCCGACGGTGGAGGAGGATGGTATGGCATAGGGTGAGGCGGGGCCCTGGCTGCAGGCAGGCAGGGGCGGTGCCTGCAGTCGGGGAAATCTATGCAGCAGAAGGCGAGAACTGAAATGAAAGAATGGAAAGCTACTGGCCTTACTAGTGGAGAGGAGAGGGAGTCAGGATGGGTGTTGCTAGGGCACGTGGTTGGGCAGTTATAAAACCCTAGGTTAAAACCCTAAGTTAAACCCTAAAACCCATGTTGCCTTGCACTGCAAGGCATCATGGGACTGGGCGGATGCGGGCACATTTGTTACTGTGGTTGGGATCTCTGTGTAATGGAGCCCTGGGCTGCTCGGACGTCCTTCCCTTGACCTTGGCGCGCTTTGATTGGCGTCAAATCTCCACCACACCACCACTACCACCCCTATAATCACTACCACCACCATAAAGGATGCGGAGCCTGAATAACTCGTAGGCTTTGCCTACGGACAAACGTTACGTTGGGCAAACATGGCAGTGGGGGCGGCCTCCACAGCGAGGCCGCTGGCTACTAGTTCCACTACCTCAATTGCCGTGATGCTTGTATGCTTGCCTTTCGCAGCTTTTCGCGCGACTGTCCCGTCCCGTCCCTTCCGAACGCCAACCCACCTACCAGCTACCACCCATCCTTCAACTCCAGTTCGCCACCGCGCGTCCCTGTTCCCATGCCGGTCCCACCTTGCTTTCCCTTTCCCTCACCTGTCAGGTTGTGCCCCCGCTGTTCTTCAATGAGGACTTTTCACTAAGCAGGTAGGTGGATCGGTGGGCTACGGGCGGCAGCAGTGTGACCTCAGGATCAGCAATAGCGATAACGCAGGCCCACCCTTCGACATGCACCAAACATTGGGACTGGGAGCTGCGGCTTCTGGCTTCCCTGCGTTTTTGAGTGGAGGCGCCGTGTACTCGTATCCCGGGGGGGGGGGCGCTGCAAAGCTGCAAACCAGCCTCACACGGCCCCCCCGGCTGATATACATGCAGCTAGCGGCTCACACACGAAAGGGCCCGTAATGGATGTTGCTTTTTCCGAACTCCCATCAGCCCTCTTCTGGAAAACCCTTTGCTCTAGGCCTTTCCTGTAGGGGATGTCTTGCGCGTGGTCCGCCTGGCCAGCTGGCGCGGTGGTACCCAACGTGCGGCTCGCTCCTCGCTCCTTGTGACTCACCTCGCAAACGCACCCCCTCGCGCATGCGGTCCTGACCTTTCATGCAGTTTTTCATCTCCTGCTCCCTGCCGCGTGCCCCGCACCCGCCTCAGACCTGACATCTTTGAGGCCATTTGCGGGTGTGAGGACGACAACGAGATGTACGCGCGCATAGACAAGCTCAACGCAGCACTGGTGGGGTAGGGGGCCTAGAGGAGGGGAGGTCGGTTCGGATCAAAGAGTACCGCTGGGGCAGGGGGGGAGCTTGGGATTCTCCTTACTCCTTACACCACAGACAGCTGGGCGCGCGAGTTTTGAAAGTGGTAGGGGTGGAGCGATTGGACGGGTTGGTAGGACGGGGTTGCGGGTGGGTCCATGGTGGAGCTGGGGGGGGGTAAATTGAACGAGCGCGGGGCGACGGTGTCACCTTACGGGGTAATGCGTTGTGGCGGGATCCTGGCCGGGGGTTGCCGCTGGTGGATTCGCAGCCTGGCTTGCCGGTGGGAAAATGTGTTGGGCTTTTGACGCGTATCACGACACGTGGTTTTCGCCGTTGTGGTCTGGTCTCTGCTGATGGTTGATTGGGCCCGGCCCATGCTCTCAAGGCTTATGTTTGCGATGTTTCTCCAATTCGGTAATCCTGCTTGCTCATTCCGGAGTCAGTCTCCGGCCCCGCCAGTGCTCGTGCTCATGGCCATGCCAGTTGGTCCCATACCACTTGGTGTGCGATGGCGACCCACCTAAGTCGGCAGTTTCTTCGCCTTTCCTCCCGTGCTGAATGCACCCATGACCCAGCCCGCCCTCCACTCCACACCACACCACTCCACACCACACCACACCACACCACACCACTCCACTCCGCACACGTCTGCCCTATAGACCTCTTCTTGCTCATGATTTCCACCCCACTCATGCAACCCTAACCACGCACCCACAGGACGTAGTGGAGACGCAGCTGATGCGCGAGATTGCCTCCCGCAGCCGCGCCATCGTGGCAGCAGGCAACTGCGTACACGACCTACACAACCGCCTGTCCAACACCCTGACGCATATCAAGCGTCTGAGGGAGAACGTGAGACTGGGGAATTCATGGGAAAAAGGCGAAAGGACGGGGCTTTTTAGCGACTTGGGATTCCCTGCGGCTCCACAACACCTCTCCCCTTTCCCCCGCTTTGGACGTCAGCAGTTGTTCTTTCCTTGATATTACATGCAATCCTCTTCCATCACGCCACGCCCAGCGCGTCCAGCCCTCCTCCAGGTCCGCGTTAACGCGTGTACTGTACATGTGCCTAGCGCCTCAAAGCACGTATGTGATTTCACCGAACTGCCCGCCCGTGTGCATCCGTACGCCCCGGCTCGCACCTGCCGGCCACTCCTTCCCCCCGCCCGCTTAGGTGAGTGACATGGACGATGTGACCTACTCAGCGGCCGTGCATGTGGCCCAGCTGCAGAGGAGGAGGAACAACCTGACGGCCACGGTGGAGCGGGTCCAGGTGCGCAGATGGACTTGGCGTGAACGTCGGCGTGTTCTTTCCTTTCTTGCGTGTCGCTCATCTTGCGTTGCTAGGTGTACCTCGGGTAGGTCCGCGTCCTGGGGCCCCGCTTTGCTGCGATGTCTCCGCATCCGCACCCATGGCGAGGACGGGTCTCACCGCCCTTGGCTGTTGGATTTGGTGCTGGAGGTGGCCCCTTCCCCCTTGCCTCTCCTCCTCCTCCTGTCTGGCCGACACCTTGCCTCTGGCACATCCGGTGGATATCGGCAGTTGATTTCTTGTTCTTCATTATTAAGCCCTAAATTGTACATGGAGTTACGGGCGTGCGGTTGTGTGCGGGCCACCGAATCCGCCTGCCAATCGCCGCGGGGCATTCCCGCCTGGGCGACGTCGGGGTCCGCTTGTCTCCGTGTAGATGAGTACTTTCGAGCATATGTACACATATACGTGCGCACATACATGCACATGTACATCACATATACAGACGCGCTTGCTCGCTTGCCATCCCGTGCCCTCTGGCACCCCCTACCGTGTGGACGTACGTGTGTAGTCGCTTGAGGAGGTCGCGGCCGCGAAGGCCGCCCTGCCACTGCTGCTGGACTCTGGAGACTATGCGGGTGAGTGTGTAGTGAGCTGAGTCTGATGTGATTAAACAGAGGCCTTGATATTGTATGCGTGTATGTATGTATGTATGTATGTATGTATGTATGTATGTATGTATGTATGTATGTATGTATGTATGTATGTATGTATGTATGTATGTATGTATGTATGTATGTATGTATGACGTTGATTACACTGTGGGCTGAAAAGCCGGGGGCCCAGGGCCGAAGCACAGCGCGGGGGGCGGGTGCATACGGCTGGTTAGTCTCATGCACTCCGCCCCCGGGTCAGGCCGCACGGGAAACGACGGCCGGCACGCAACAGCGCTTGTTTGGCGCTCCAACTAGACGGGATCTATGCCCGTTGGTCTCCTAACATAAACGAAGTCGCAACTGGGGGGCTCTTCCTGCCGACCGAACGAACCGAGCATCTCAGAGAGCTCGCTACCAGGACTTGGGCGACCGGGAGCCCGACGAGTCTTCCCGGGCTGGGGAGGTCACCAAGCTCAAAAATCCTCACGCAAAAAAGAGCGCAAAGAGCTCACACCACAAGACGCCAAACAGCCTCCTGAGACTACTACCCTCCTCCGCCTCTCCCTCCCTGGGCTAGTCCAGGGGAGATAGCCCCCGTCGAGGGGG